CAAGCATGCTTGTTGCTATTCTTGACGCGTCGGTGTTTCCAAACTTTTATTTGATCATTTCGAAATAATTTGATCCTGCTCATTTTTGTTTCATTTGCTTGTACGCTTGGGCACTTTCTTGTGAATCTAGGGAATGAGGTCTGTGTTGTTAAGATTTCGAAAATCTGAAGGGCCTGAGCGCTCATCACGAATTGTTTTTCATATGTGAGATGCAGAAGAAGCTGTGCAAATTTCATTTCTTCGCTTTTGTGTTGATTTTTGTTTGGATGCGCACTTTCAGATTGACGCCAACTTGGAGAGTGAAAATATTATCGAAGCTTTGACGCAAAAAAATGATGAATTGGAGAAGAAATTGAGGTGGCACTTCCTTCACTTTTTAGTATATTTATACACTCGCATTGAGTTTGACGCATAAGTTGATCTGGTTTTGGGTTCAGATCTTGATGCGCAAACTTGAAGCTGCTTTATCTGTGTTGAGGCGGTGAATTCACTTTTAGACATCTTTGTGCCGGAGGCTTTTTTTTTCAGAAGTCGTTTTTCAGCTCTCTGTTGTACGTATTGCAAAATGAAATTCTTTGTTCGAAATTTGATGTAGAGTTTTTTCAGCGCGTTGGAAGAAACGGTGGAAGATTTTGAATCAATCCGAACGATGGACGAAGAAATTATTGAAGCACAAAAAGAAAATGAAAAAGAGCTGAAAAACGATTTAGATTTAGCCAATGGGCGTAATAATGATGCACGTTGTTTTCGTACTTCATCCAATTTAAAATCAAAATTCTTTCCAAATTTTACCCTTTTTCCCTCACTCCCGCTTTTTGAGAAACAAGAACTGCCGTGGGTAGATGGAGGTGTGTCATTTTGTCAACAGCACCTGATAACTGACAGTGATGATGACGCTCTGTTGTTCCAGAATTTTCTAAGAGAAAACTGAAGGTGGATCTGACTTCCAGCCATGCACTGGCCATGATTCATGCAGAATCCATCACCACTGAGGCTGCTAATTTGTGAAAAAATTGAATTACTTTCCGATTTTTTAGCTTTCCCTTGCTTGGTTGTTGTGAAAGAGAGGAGGACTGCACGGAGCCTGAAGAATTGCTTTAATGAGACCGAGACAACTGAACAATTTCGGCAATTTTGAAGCTGCCTAGGTTTTTACCGCGCCGTGCATAAACGCTGTGTAGTTCGTTCCTGCACCCATACCGCGACGAGGTGATTTGGATCGAAAGGGTTTTGTGAGAGGGATAACTGTTTTAAGGAACAAGAACATGTACACCGGTAAAAAAGGCTAAGCTGATTGCAGCATGATTGTAGTATACAAGTAATATTAAAAATTTATATAGGGCAGGAATAGAGCGAACTTTGTGTTGGTGGATGTAGGAATAAAGCTGATGTGGGAAAAATAAGTACTTAACAGTCCATTAAGTCATATACGTCTTAGCTAATATTTCATGTGCTTGCAGAGGATGAGATATGCGTAAATTTTGTTAGTGTCAAACCGTTTTCTTCTAGCTGAATTAATTTCAGTTTATGCGACAAATCCGATCTTACGCTCAGCAAGTGGAAGATTATGAGAAAACGATAATGAAATTTCGTCAGCGTGTTGCTGATCTGAATGCTGAAATCCAAGAGCAACAGGATCAGGTAAGCTTTAGTATTTTCAAATGTTTATTTTGCTATTTTGATCAGTGATAGTTCTGTCGCACTTTCACGTTATCAAAAGAAACTGACAGTTTTTTGTGTTTGCTGTGACCAGTGGTGTGTACCATCCCGTTGATCCTGTTGTTTGTATATTCC